CACACAAAAACCCCACACAAAAGCGCGACAAGAGAGAACACACACACACACACACACACACACACACACACACACACACACACAGAGGAAGAAACAGCTAGTACCTTAACACGCATGAGTAATGTCCGGCGTCCTGTAACTCGGCCGGTCTGAACCAGATGGAGTCCTCCTCTTTACTCATCCGGCTCCCGTCGAATGAAATGGGCTCCTCGAAGTCTCCATGGCCGGTGCTTTTGTACCACATCAGACTGAGTCACACACACACACACACACACACAGAGGAAGAAACAGCTAGTACCTTAACACGCATGAGTAATGTCCGGCGTCCTGTAACTCGGCCGGTCTGAACCAGATGGAGTCCTCCTCTTTACTCATCCGGCTCCCGTCGAATGAAATGGGCTCCTCGAAGTCTCCATGGCCGGTGCTTTTGTACCACATCAGACTGAGTCCGGCACTCTGAGCATGTGTGTAGTTCGCACGGATGTATCCATAAAATAAAGCACATTTAATCCTCACAGGCTCCCCGAGCAGAACTTTGTATTTCAGGTAGTCCACAGACCAATCCGTACAGCCGTCCACTGCGGAGACAGAGAACACTGCGTTAATACAACAGGACCGACGTACAGCATCTGACAGCACAACATGAGGCCTTGATACATGAAATAACACAGTCAGACACAGATCAGGGCCAGTGTGTGTGTGAGTGTGCGAGTGAGTGTGTGTGTGTGTGTGTGTGTGTGTGAGTGAGTGAGTGAGTGAGTGATTGAGTGAGTGAGTGATTGTGAGAGTGAGAGTGTGTGTGTGTGTGTGAGTGTGTGCGAGTGAGTGAGTGTTAAGTAAGTGTGTGTGTGTAAGTGAGTGAGTGAGTGAGTGAGTGTGTGTGTGAGTATATGAGTGAGTGAGTGTGTGTGTGAGTGAGTGAGTGAGTGAGTGAGTGAGTGAGTGAGTGAGTGAGTGAGTGAGTGAGTGAGTGAGTGAGTGAGTGAGTGAGTGAGTGAGTGAGTGAGTGAGTGAGTGAGTGAGTGAGTGAGTGAGTGAGTGAGTGAGTGAGTGAGTGAGTGAGTGAGTGAGTGAGTGAGTGAGTGAGTGAGTGAGTGAGTGAGTGAGTGAGTGAGTGAGTGAGTGAGTGAGTGAGTGAGTGAGTGAGTGAGTGAGTGAGTGAGTGAGTGAGTGAGTGAGTGAGTGAGTGAGTGAGTGAGTGAGTGTGTAAATGAGTGTGTGTTAAGTAAGTCAGTGAGTGTGCGAGTGAGTGTGTGTGTGTGTGTGTGTTTGAGCGAGTGAGTGTGCGTATGAGTGTGTAACAGTGTGAACAGCAGTTGACTGATCATGTAGGAGTATTTTAGCAGCTGTGACCCAGTAAGAGGCCAGAAGAAAACAGCATGCTCTCTCTCTCGCTCTCTCTTTCTCTTACACACACACACTCACAGATCAGCATCTCATCTCTTTCTCACTAAAGCAAACAACACTCACATCACAACACCCTACAGGTGAAACCATGACAACAGACACCAGCATCATGTGATAGATAGACGAGCACTTAAAGACATTTCACAAAATAATTACAAAGAAACAGAAATTAACACATTGAGTTAAATGTGCATTTTTAAAGTCGAAACGAACAAATGTTATTTTATTGTTTTACTGTTTTATTTACTTTAAAATTGTTTACAGTGTCTGTGATTTGAAATGAAAATCTACAGGAATGTTCATAGCAAACATAATCTTTATCAGAAACTGGACTTAAATACAATTCATTTAAACCGCAGCACTTCTAGATGCTCAGCTCTGTCTACAGCATCTGCGACATGATGATGATGACTGACAGTGAAAACAGTTCAGACTCGGTTTGTAAGAATCACATGTACAGTAATGGAGACACTGCTGAGCTCAAACACACCGTCTGTGTTCACATGAGACAAACTGCTGTGACATCATCAGGCATGAGCTTGTGCTTCACGTCCACAGCAGGAGAAAACATGGATAGGCCTATAGCCGGAGAAACTCATCCGAAGCGTATGAGCAGATCGAGAATAGTCCACATGACAATTCAGCCACAAACACAGCTCACATAATGAACATTTCTACCGAAGAGTTCATGCAAGAGCGGTCAGACCCGCTGGAAGGCCTCGCTCCATATGCTTACAATACAAGCGCACTGCTGCACATGCGTTTAATGTGTGTTGAAACAAACCCAGCTTCTGTGGTAACTGACACTGATGTCACATGCTGCAGATGAATTATAGGGCGAAATCCAAATGGAAGTGAGCATCCCTATGCCCTACTCCCTTAGAAGGGCAGAGCCCTTGAAGTGTGTTCTTTGAAGGGTGTAGGGCATTACTCTCTGGTATAAGCGCTTGGAACTCCCTTGATGCAGGGAATGACTGACCAAATGTTACCTTGACAACTCTCCACGTGCGTGCAGCATTCGACACTCCATCAGTTGTTGCAAATAAATATTTCTTCTTATTATTATTTTATTCTAATATTTTCCAATTGTGTCTTATTACCTTTAAACTTTTTTAATGCTATACTTGCTGACACTTGCTTTCACTACCATCTTAAATCATATTTCTATCACTGAAGAAAAATATTTTGTATTACAATAAAATAAAGACAAATTTAATTAGCCTATTCGACTTACATTTGTATGTGAAGTCGAAATCAACCCCCTTGATGCAGGGAATGACTGACCAAATGTTACCTTGACAACTCTCCACGTGCGTGCAGCATTCGACACTCCATCAGTTGTTGCAAATAAATATTTCTTCTTATTATTTTATTCTAATATTTTTCAATTGTGTCTTATTACCTTTAAACTTTTTTAATGCTATACTTGCTGACACTTGCTTTCACTACCATCTTAAATCATATTTCTATCACTGAAGAAAAATATTTTGTATTACAATAAAATAGACAAATTTAATTAGCCTATTCGACTTACATTTGTATGTGAAGTCGAAATCAACCCCAACTTTGCTTTAAAATGCATCACAAGATCTCCTAACCGAAGATCACATGATCACAAATGGTAATTACTTCCATGAAGTGACAATCACATGTTCCTTTCGCTAACAGACTTCTGGAAGGGCCCTTCAGAAGGGATTCAGATCACTTTCATTTGGAACGTCCCTACAAATGGCATCCGATTCCCGAAATGCCCTTCAAGGGCGCAAAAAAAGCTGTTTGGAATTCACCCATAAACTCTAGACTGTCCAAAACTCCATACATTTATAATTTGTCATTTAGAAACAGATTCTGAACTGCTCCGAATGTTCTCCGATAAGTCTAGCGCTGCGTCCCAGCGGCATTTCGTCCAGCATCTCTCCTCCTCCTCAATTATCCAACGTTCTGTCTGTCTGAAACAGCTGCTGCAGACAGATGCTGAGAGCTCGACAGGCTTGGCTAATTGTGTCTCCCTCAATGTTTTATTTACTAAAGAAACAGCGCAGCAGCTAATTAACAGAAGCGAGAGAGAAGCGTGTCGCATTATTTATCCCTGCATTCTCTCTCTCCGAGCGCCAAATCCCCAAAATAAAACACGACGACTCATTTTGCACGCTGAGAAAGTCAAAGCCTGCCGGACAGCGAGTCAAATCGAAATCCTATCAAATCTCAGCAGAGCTGCTCTGTGAAGGATGCGTTCGGCCGGACGCTCGTGTGGAGGGGGAACGGGTGAAGGAACGCAGGAATCCCTGATGAGTTTTGGCAGGATCTTTCAGAGATGCCAGCAGTGCGGCTGCTGTCAGGTGACATTTACAAACACTGACAGCAAAAAAACCCACTTATTAAAATGTTACGGGTCTCTGTTGCTATGGCGACAGGAGGGGGCTGGTTGCCGTGGCAGTCAGTATGGGGGGGGGGGCTAATTAAGGTTCATTGCAGCAGTATAACGAACTTCATGATGCTTTTGCTTTGTGAAATGGAAGATGGTTAAAATATGATTATTTCTTTTAATTATCCTACTGTACAGTGTGTGTGTGTGTGTGTGCTGGCTTACTTCTGCAGGTATGTTTATTACACGGTGTGTGTGTGTGTGTGTGTGTGTGTGTGTGTGTGTGCTGGCTTACTTCTGCACGTATGTTTATTACACGTGAAATTAAATGTCTCAAAACGGGACATTCGTTTAGGGAGAGACAGAGCAATTACAGAATCTTCAGCCGTTATATTTCTCTTTTCTTGTCAAGTGTGTGCGTTTATTTCAGAGCTGATTTTCAGAAAGAAATGTGAGTCACGTCAATGACTGTTTCTCCTCTCAACATCATTCTGAAGAATCTAATGAAGCATCAGCAGAGACTCTCAGGACTTGAGGCTGGATTCACAACAACTGTCTTAAGAACTGATCTCAAGAAATTGAGAAGTGCAAATCTTAAAATTTTCTCAAAAGTTCTCAAATATTCTCTTTTTTTCTGAATAAAATGACAGTAGTCTAATATAACAAAATAAATCCTGACGAATATTAATGATAAATCTATTTATTACACGGCTCTGTGGAATACTCGATTCTGATTGGTCAGTCAGCACATTCCGAGGTATGTTATTCCCCGTTAACAACCGGTAAAAACTAACAACACAGGCTCATCAGTGTAACTGCAGTTGGCACTATTCGCTTGCTCAGAACATTTTTTTTCTTCATGGAAGCTTTGCATTTGGTTGTCTAATAAAATATTAAAACTCAAATCAATATTCTCTATACAAATATTTCATTCTGTCATCCTGGTATTGTGGACTTGCTCTCGTTTCATTCAAACGCAGCTGCTGCCATTTTGAGACGATTGGTTTGTACACTGTAATGGATTGTAAGATAACTAACAACTGGTAAGATTTTAAAACGGTTTCATCTAAATTCAGTATCTTTTATTGCTATAATTATTTATATTGTGAAATGCCGTGTAATAAGTAGTATGTCTGTACCATATCTCTTAATGTCCATCTAGTTTGAACTTGCCGCTTATTAGCAACTGCTTTCTTCACGGAAGCTTTGCGTTCAAATATTACAGCTCAAATCAATATTTCGTGTCTAATTATTTCGTTTTGTGGCAAGTAGCCATGTAATAAGCGGGATAATGTACATCCAGCTAGTTAAAAATAAAGTCCTTCAGTTTTATACAACAGCCCTCCGCTTCGCAACGATAAACCTGTTGGGCTTTATTCTGCGATAAGAACTGGCTGGATGTACATTATCCCTTACCTATTAAACACAGTAAGCACCTCACGATCATATTGTTTTTCTAAAGCGGAGATCAGGACAACTAGATGAGCTCCAGAAACAGATTCCCTCCAAAGACCCCATCATCTAGATGGACATCGGGACAAGATCATGGGAACCAGACAAGTCCTCTGCACAATCTGACTTTGTTGCAGCCTAGAATTAAACTGCTGGTTTCGTCTGGCCAGAGGAGAATGGCACACTATTTTGACACACTGTTTCTCTGTTTAATACTGTAAAGCTACTTTGACACAATCTGCATTGTAAAAATTGCTATATAAATAATGTTGACTTGACTTGACTTAAAGGGCATAAAAAGTGTTTGTTTAATGAATTTTCTTGTTGAAAACCTTTTTACTAACCTTCAGTCGT